AGACTCCAACTCAAAAAAAAAAAAAAAAATAATAATAATAATCAAGACTTCAGATTCACCGCCTCAAGAGTTTATGTCCAGAAAAGGCAAAGCGGGTCTCAGATATTCTGCAGCCAAGTAAAAGCTGCCAGAACTCAGGGAAGAAGCCTTCCCAGCAGGGCAGGAGGTGCCGTTTGTCAGGACTTTCCGGAAGCCTCATGTGGAGCCTTCTGCTCGCTGCAGGGCCTCCTTAACTCTTTCAGGGTTGCCACGTGAGGACTCGGAGGCGTTCGGTTCCTGACTGGGTCCACACAACCCCGCCAGAACCTAGGGCAGGATCGTGCCGGCCCCACAGGCAGTAGGGAGTGAGAGCAGGTTTGTTGGCTGTGACCCAGCTTTTACAGGAGTCATCAGGGCCTTCTGAGCCAGGGGTCCAGTCAGTGGTGGCTTCGCACCAGGGATGCAGTCTGACGCAAAGTCCAGTGCTCTGACCCTGTTGTAAACATGTCTGCAGTGATCAGGCTCTCCGCCGATTGGAGTGTGGTGTTAGTAAGTATCGTAAGAAGCCTGACCTGAGTGTGGGTGTCATCCCAGGTCCCCAAAGACACCCACAGATAAGGACGGGGGAAGAAGGGGCCACGGGGAAAACTCCTCCGCCTCTGAGGGTTTCAGGAGTACCTGCCTGGATGTGGCCGGGACCCACTCGCCAGGGAGGCTGGCTGAGAATCTAGCTTGCCAGAAACGGGAAGCTGTCTCCTGAGAGTGAGCCCCCAAGGTGAACGGTCAATTGCTCCCCCAGGCGGCGGCAGCTTCTGACTAAGGAGATGCTGACACTGATGCCGACGCCTGCCCTGACGCATGGGACAGTGAGGGAACCCACAGACAGCCCGTGGTCAGCTGTGGCCAGCTCTGCAGAAGCAGGCCTGAGGCCTAGCCCCCCGGGATGCCCGCGGCCCACTCCTCACTTCAGCATGGCCGGGGAACACACACAGGCTCAGATATCCACCCGAGGTCTAAATGCTGGACAGCCACTGCAAGTCCTGTTAACTTGGAGACTCAGTGTCCTAGTCTCTACAGTGGAATAGCAGGCCTTTCTCACAGGGCTGGGGGAGGATTAAGGGCCACGCGTAAAAGCTAGAATAGTCCCTGGCAGGCTGCTGACGCGCAAGACAAGGGGCGGCTAAAAAATGATCCTGCTTTGCTTCATGGCACCGCTGTTACTTTGGCTCCCTCAGCTACACATTACAAACGGAAGCCGAGATAGCTTCACCCCATTCCCGGTTCAGATCTGCCACCAGTAAAACACAGAGGCAGGTCGGTGTAGCCACGAGCCGTGGTCCACAACTCCTGTCCACCCTACACCTGCGGGCTTACTCTATGATGAGTACCTACGAGACATTTCAGCAGGGACATTATCCGAGTGGTAGAAAAAAATGGCAGTGCTGGTAGACGGTGCCTCTCGTGACAGCAAGAACGCAAATGCAAGATTTGCGGCTCACAGATCATGAAACCCAGGTGGTGGGCCCCCTTGTCTGCTGTCGAGTAGGAATGTTTCCGACAGACAGGTGTGGCACACTAAGAGATCAGATGCAGAGCTGACGCCAGGGAGAGCACAGCCTGCCTTGAGAGGGTCGGATGCTGAAAGGCTTGGCACCCTCTGCCAGGACTGTCCCTTGCAAGGAGTGGTGACCAATTTAGCACCAAAGCTGCGACACCTGACCGTGCAGTTCGCTTTAACAGGAAAACAGCTGGGAGTTCAAGAGGGGCTCGGTTTTATTTTTCCAATGATTTGTACATGCCTCACCAAGAGCCTTAGAACGATGCTCACATTTTATGAAACCTTTAGTATTTCTTTTTTTTTTAAGGCTAGTCAAGTAAAGCAGTGGAGTGGAGAAGGAACAAAGACATTTGTGGCCGGTTGTGATCGATTAGTTGTAAACGACCACACTCGGACCAGCCAACATTTGGTGTTTCTCAGAGCAAGGAGTCGCACGTGTTGTGGACCGCAGTGAAGGAGTCAGGCGGCGTGGCAGAGAGCACAGCCCGGCCAGGCGGCGCCCACCCGCCTACGGGAAGAGCTTGCCCAGCACTCTCCCACGGTCACGGGGTCACCCATCCTGCAGCATGGGACGGAAGCCGGACAGAAAGCGAGAAGCGCCGTCGACCTTCCCCGCAGGCAGACGGAGAAACGCCAGCTTTCCGGCCCCGCTTGCATCTACTTTCATCCGCTTTTCCTTCCCTTGGGTCTCCCTGTCTTGCTTTGGAATTCATCTGGCAAGAGGTCAGAAGACACGGGCTCTCATGCTGCAAGAAGGGGCAGCCATGCTTTTGCTTGGGAACACTGGTGACATCACAGAGCAACCCTTGGGCCCCGGGAGCTCGTATGCAAGGGAACACGGAGTCAGAAGAGAGCCTTGGTCACGGGCTCCTGAACTCTGAGGTGAGAGAGCTCTTAGGCAAACGACCGTATCCCCGCGGGACTGCGCCCTCCTATCTGACTTGGGCTCTAATGACTCGAGGAATTCTCTGGGGAAACTCATCTATGTGGACCAGCTGCGGTACCAGGACATTTGTTGCTGCTCAGTCTCAATTTCAGCTGCTGCTTCTCATGACATCAATGGGTTACGCCTCCCTGTAAGGGGACAGTTTTCTCTCGCATTACAAGTGATCTGGGTGACTGCCTGGAGGTGGCTGGGCCACAGCACCCTGCCACCACTCTTCGTTCAGGGGCCCGGGACCGGTCTCAGTGTGTCACGAGAAAACTGAGAGGCCGGGAGACTCAGTTAACTGCTGTGTTCCCCCAAACTTTGCTGCATGCAACCAGCTTTACGTAGTGAACCCCCACTTGTGCCCTCGACTCTAAAATTAAAAAATAAAACGAAATGGGCAAAGAAAGACCCAAAGTGCAGTGTTCCCTGAAACTGCAGCTCTCCATCCCAACGGCACACGAGCCAAGTCGACACCACCTCTGTTTGGGTTTCAGCAGCTGTCTGCCTACGAAAGGCTCCAGAGTCCCTGACGCATATTTATATCTCCACTTCACTCAAGTCACAAGGAACAAACACGTGAAGGTTTTTCCCAGAGGCACAAGTCCATTCATATTTCTTCAAGTGAAGCGGGGGCGGGTGGGGAGAAACTGCTTATGGACAAAACCGTCGTGGGCACAGCCACATGGATTTTCATCTGCCCAAAGATAACACACAGTTTTGAGATATGATTAGGGATAGCCATTCCCACACTGCCAACATGGGCTGCTGGCTCTCGTTTACTAGGATTCGGAACTGGGAAAGGAATCCCACTGTCTTCCAAACGGCCACATGATATCGGCGGGACCAGCCTCCCGAAGGGGCTTCTCAGCAGAAGGTCTGCTCAGGCTCAGTGTGACTTCTCTCTCACAGGTCTCACGTCACCAGGACACCCCTTGAGGGTCCGGGTAGACTGTCCGAAAGGTCAGGTTCACTCTCACTTCTCTGGAGTGGTATTCCTTGGGCACTCGATGCTAAAAGGAAATACACATAGCTCTCTGATGTAAATACACACACAGTTTTAGCTCAAAGCCATTTAAAACTTACTTATAAGAACCCAGAAACAGGCCCCTTTAGCTGAGCAGTCCTGTAGAGAAAGGTCTCCTTCCTTGAAACAATCTCCATCTCCACCCACTGGGCTGTGCTGGCACCCCTGCAGTGAGATACATTCTTTTCTTTCTTTTTTGTTTTTTGAACCTGGGTCTCACTCTGCTCCCCAGGCTGGAGTGCAGTGGCACAACCATGGCTCACTGTAGCCTCAGCTTTTTAGGCTCAGGCAATTCTTCCACCTCAGCCTCCAGAGTAGCTGGGACTACAGTCTTGTGCCACTATGCCTGGCTAATTTTTTTTTTTTTTTGAGTTACAGTCTCACTCTGTTGCCCAGACTGGAGTGCAGTGACATGCTCCTGGCCACCGCAGCCTTGACTCTCTGGGCTCCGGCGATCCTTCCACCTCAGCCTTCCAAGTAGCTGGAACTACAAGTGTGCTACCACATCCGGCTAATTTTTTATTTATTGTAGACACGAGGTCTCGCCAAGTTGCTCAGGTGGGTCTCGAACCTGTGGGCTCAGGCAATCCACTTGCCCCGGCCTCCCAAAGTGCTGGGATTACAGGCTGAGCCACTGAGCCCGGCCAACCTGGCTAATTTTTTTATTTGTAGGGGCAAAGTCTCACTATGCTGCCCAGGTTGGTCTCAAGCTCCTGGGCTCAAGCAATCCTCCTGTCTCGGCCTCCCAAAGTGCTGGGATTATAGGTGTGAGCCACTGTGCCCGGCCTCTTGTTCATTATTAAATGCAGTTTGCTTCCAACCGCGTTTCCTTAGAAGAATCCTCAGCCAGTCAGGAAACTGCCTCCATACGAGAGCGATTCCTGTTACCTGCATGTCCTCACCTGCCAGTCAGCTTGGGTAGCTCCCTCCATGATGAGCAAGGTCCCGTGATCCAAGGGGATCTTCACTCTCTCCACATACGTGTAGTCTCCATTCTCTTCCTAGAAAACAGCATTCACTGTGCTGAGTTTTTTTCCTTGTGTGATCAAAATATGACAGAACCCGACAGTGGTCAAAAAAAAAAAAACGGAACCTCGACTCCTCAGCCATACTGTGAGGTTCACACATGACTCTGTCATTTGGCAGCCACTTGGCAGCGGGCAAGTTATCCCACCTCTCCGTACCTTGGTTTACTCATCTGTAAAATGGAGATGGTAACAGCCTCTGCCACCCAGGGCTATGATAAACCTCAGCTGGTAGAGTACGTATAAGTCACTTGGGGCCACCACGTAAAAAGTACTAACAATTATTAACACTCTCATTATCCAAAATGCAGAAAAGCCCATTCTGGCCCATGAAAGAATCCAAAGTCACTTATCAGAATTCTTTACCTCTGTCTGATATCTGGGCTCTATGTAGCCAGCATGGGACAAATGGCCTCTGAGCCAAGACTGGATGTGACAAGTTCTGCTTCACCTTTTCACAAGTTATGCTAATTCACTAATTGGTACCTAGTTATACCAGTCACAACTCCTCCCATGGCTACTTTAGGGTTTTGGAGATATACTCCTGCCTCTTTCCGGAACAGACAACAGCAAGATCTTCTCAAGAAAGGAAGCTCTGGCTTGACCGGAAGTGTGCTGACCAGATGTTTAAGCCTTTGAGAATGAACCACAGTCCTGAATACTTGAGGTACAAATGCCCTGTAGTCACAGAGAGCTCAAAGTCAATTTATGTCCAATCTTGTCAGTGGGTGGTGTTACTCTTCCTTCACAGCTGACAAGGGGGTGCATTAAACAACTCCCATGTCCACACCAAGAGCATGGAGCAGACCTGTGCATCCTGACGTCATCTCCGCTCTGGGCAGAGCTGATGGGGCCCTCTGTTCAAGGGGTTACGCTTGGGTTACTGCAGGATTGATTTCAGCGCAATGCTGTGTTTATGTTTCTTATTGTACGGGTGCTTCTGAGAACTTAACCGTTTGCGATCAAAATCAAAACAATAACAAACTTGCATAAACAGTCTAAGTTCCAGGCCCCAACCCTTGGCAGTGACTCTGCCAAGCAGAGTCATAATTTTCACAGGCAGAAGACAGAAGCAATGTTTAAAATAACTTCTGGCTTCCGTGATTGATTTTACTTGTGCCTGCCACCTTTTCTCTTCAGTAATGAGTAGCACCAAAACATTTATGGCTGACCCCTCAGCCAACCAAAGAACAGCGGGAAGGTGACCTGCCCTCGGGTCCAGCTCAGAACAGCAAAAGGCTGCTCTAAAAATAAAACACACAGACAGAGGCGATGCATGTCCTACTGAAGAAAAGGTATCAGAAGAGAGTATATCATCCAGGAGATCAGAGAGTCCAAGGCTCCTCAATTTAGGCTGGAAAGCCAGTTGCCAGATAAAGATTCAACACAGCTAAAGCAGAAGAACTTCTCCTACCCTCTCTGCAATCAGGGGGTGTCTCATGGCCTTAATCTGTAAATCAAGTACAGACTACTAGGCCAGGGGCATGAACGGAGTAGAGAGGAAAGACACTTGACCACAACACGAGAGCAGCTCTGAAGACCTCTCAGAACACGAAAGACATGCTGGGGAGCGGGGTGTAAGGCCAGCAGAAGAGAGCAGGTAAGACTGCCACTCTACCTGGAGACACGGAGCAGGCAGGCACCTCCCTAGTGGACAAGCCCAGTGCAGGGTGGACTCTCAGCCCTGAAGAAGAGCGTGTTCCACAGATCCACATGTCACCTCTTGTCCCCAAGATCTGCATCCTTCAGATGAGATGGCCTCAGGTAGGTTCTGAACACATGACATCCGACATAAGCCATCAGCCACTCCAAAAGCGGAAGAGGGCATGCCTCCCGTGGGAGGGAGCCACTCGAACCAGGCCACAAAGAGGACGGTGATCCGCAGCGCCTGCTGTGACCACTGACGTCATTTCTTGGCTGCTTGTTATTTACTCCATCAACACCCTGGGGTTAGCGGAAGGAGACTGACAGGAAAGAGGGCAAGGGATGCTACCATGCAACACAGAGCCCGCAAACTGTCCCTTCTTGAGGCTAAGGTGGCAACAGACCACAGCGCCCCCTTTAACTAAGCCAAGATGCATGGAGGCTTTTCCCACCTGGGAGGAGAATCAGAGGCCAGAGGAGCTCACATAGCTGCATCAAAGCTCACAGGGCCCACGTGTGAGCGCCAGGAGACGCGGGGCCAGGCTGTATGGAAGACTGCCTGCAGGCATGAAGCCAGCTGAGCCACTCACCATGCCTCTGTGGCCCTTCCAATCTGCCCAGGACTTGCTTCCAAACAAAACACATCCCCAAAACACCATGGCTTAGGATACAATCTCCCATCCCTCATCCTGGTTAAAAGAAGCTTTTAGGGTTCACAATCAACCCACAGGGTGGGCTTTGTTGTTGATGCTCTTAGTTTTCCAAGTACTGAAATTCTTACAAGTACACGGGAAAAGCAAAAATACATATTTTTATATAAACACTGATCAACATTCTTACTCCTTCTCCAGTCACAACCAGTTCACTGAGTGCTAACTGCTTCTCTAAAACCTTCCCCCAACACATTCTCCTATTCTGTTTCCTTTTTTAAAAAATGCCATTTAGGAAGAAAAATCTGGGTGTATTTATTGCTATGTCATTACTAACCATCCAACAGACAGGAAACCTAAGGAATTTTCTTTTCACTGGAAAAATAATTTATACTGTATGAGATTTGAATTTTTCTTCTAACCACTCCTTTCTTGTTCTGAAAGGGTGCCAGAAATCACAAGCAACCACTAATGCTTTAAAACCATCATCGTCATAGTTTTTCTTTCTAGAATATAAAGGCAACATAAATCCACTGAATTAAGTGATGTACTTGTAATTACTTGTTCAATGTCTGCGCTCACATACTCCATGAAGGAAAGCCTATGTGGTCTTGTTCTTAAGAAACATTCCTAGTGCCTGTCACACACATATGAATATATATGATCAAGGAAAAGTACCAAGAAAATCACCTTTAGTTCTACCATCCAGAGTTCACAGAACACATACAGATTATCTCATATATACAAGTATGTACTCTGCATTTTAAATATTATATTGTGAGCATTTCCCCACATTTTAAAATATACAGTATTTCAAAAATATGGTTATGTAATATTCCTTCATATGAACATATTCTTCATTCTTCAAACTCACAAATACTTCTGATCACATGTATATGTCAGGCACTGTGCTAGTGCTAAGGATATAGCAGTAAGAAATATATTGTTGGAGACTCAGATTTTAATATATCTGCACTTTTTTAAAGAAAGAAAACAAAGCAAAAGCTACTGCAAGTAGATTTTTTGGCAAAACATTTCTGAGTAAATTTCTAGGATATAGTCTTAAAAATAGAATGACTGGAGCCAAGAGTATGAACTTTAAGGCACTTGATTTACACGGCCAAATTTCTTTCTTGAGAATGCTACAGCAATTTATAATTCCTTCATGAAAATATGACAGTTCTCATCTTCTGGTTGACCATCATCAACTGACAATAATAAAAAAAGAATTAGGGGAGAAATGATAACTCATTCCAACTTAGAGTCCTTGGATTACTAGACCATTGCAACTTTTTTTTTTTTTAAATATTCTATTCCATGTTTTTCTTCTATTGTGAACTCTGTTCATGTCCTCTGTCCACCGTTCTACAGGGGTGTTAGCATTTTTATTGACCTATTACCACAGATATTGAGATATTTGTCCTCTGTCATACTTTTCACAAATTTCTTTTGCTATTTGCCTTCTGACTATGTTGATGATATTTAACATAAGCTCAGTCAAAAACGTTAGTGTCAACTCTACTGACCTTTCTTGGGTTCTTCTCCATAGTTTTCATGCTTAGAAAGCCTTTTCTCATCCTGAGGAAAGTTAAATATACAACTGCATTTCCCTTTAGTTAAAAAAAAAAAAAGCGTTTACATTTTTTTAGATTTGACTCTTTAATCTCCTTGGAGTTTTTTTCACCCCCGACAGCTTCTTATTAAAATTTCCACATACTAGGCATCCTGCTAGACATTTGGGACGGATCAACCGTGGTGTATGCTCAGGGGCCAGGCATGTCAGGCACTGTACACACCTTACTGCTAATCCTTACCACACCTTGTAAGGGAGGTAAGGGGGGGCAATATTATTCATTTTATCAAAAGCAAAGGGAACTGGAGGGAAGATGCTTCCCAAGGGCAAAATCCTCACTGGAGGCCAGGCTAGCACCTGAGCTCCCCTGGCTCTAAAGCCGGCATTCTTTCCCCTAGACTCTGCTCTCCAAAGTAAGCTCTAGGTCTTCTGAAATCCTGTAATACGTCCTGTCCTAATTGTATGGCACCCTGATGACACTGTGGGGTCACAGACACCAGCAAGTAGTGTGCACGCGAGGTGTGGTGGGTGCAGCACAGCGGCTGGGGAGGCGTGAAGAAACAGGGGCCTGCTCACAGGTGGCAGCTGCTGTGCCCATCAGCTGTACAGCTCACTGCTCCCCAAGTGTTGCCCCGTCTTTTGGGCTTTCCAGGAAAGCTAATGAGTGGGATTTTGATGCAAAATTTCTGAGGTTACACATTTTGATAACGAACTCAGTTTACCTAAAAGCACTGGGCAGTATAAACAAGTCAGAGGGCCAGATCAGCTCCAGGGCTGCTCACGCACTTGCTGCTGACCGCTCCATGACATGACTGCCTTCTTTTGCTCCCTTGCAGGCCCCGGCTGGCCTGCAAGCTGTCAAGGTCAGTTGTTACCCACTGTACTTCTCTGATCCACTCTGCCGTTCCACCTAGCAATGCTTGACTGAAAGCTCAGGATACATATGCTGCTTCATTTTCAGATATCACAGTCTTCAATCTCACCCCCAATTCAATCAGAAAAGGCCATTCATGGGAGGACGGCAGGATTTCAAGAGCTAAAGACCAGCCTGGACAACATAGTGAGACCTCTACCAAAAATAAAAAATATGAGCCAGGCATGGTGGTGTG